TGGGTGAGTAAGCCCCACTGACACTGACCTGCTTAGGGACCACTGCTCACTTGTGCATTCAGGGTACCTCTATGATATCACACAGGTACACTCACCTGAGCTTCTGGAGCGGGGGTGGGGGCGGGGTGGCAGATGTTCCGCTATCATCTGTTTACAGCCTGACTCTTTTCTTCTTTAAGGAAGTCTGGTCATTCCCAGGAATGAGTCACAACCGCAGCTGGGAGACTGACGTAGACCTTCAGTGTCAGTAGCTTTGCAAACTTCCACTGCGTCGCTCTTTGATGCTCTTACGTCTAAATTCTCTCTTCTTTTTAAATTTGAAACATTTTGTTGACATATATTCATCACGCGTAGTGTTGGGTTTCATCAAGATAATTCTTTTTTCCAAATACATCATGTATTGTGGCCACATGCACCTCTCTCCTGTTCTGTCCCCCCATTCCCATCTCCTCTTCTGTTTCTGGCTAGTCTCCCTTTTTCCTCACATTCTCTGTCTCCGTCTGTCTGTCTCTGTGTGTGCATGTATGTGTGTGTGTGTGTGTGTGTGTGCACACGTGCGCACGCGTGCGTGCATGTACGTGTTCTCATTTAGGAAGGCATACCAAGTTCTAAGAGTCAAAAATATTATATATATATATATATTTTTTCTTTATGTATAGCTGGGCTGTCTTGTTTGGCCTCAGTGGGAGAGGACACACTTAGTCCTGCTTTGATTGATGTACCAGGGTAGGTTGATACCCATAGGGAACCTCCCCAGTGGAACGGGGGGGGGGTGTGAGGGTGGGACTGAGAGGAGAGGAGAAGGGAGGAGACTTCAGTCAGACTGTAAAATGATTAAATAAATAAATTATATTCATATTTGGAAATCATATTCATGTTTGGAAATCATGTATATTCATGTTTGGAAATCATGGCAGACTCCTAAACTAATAAATGAACTGGCTGTTGTGACCACTGGCCCAGTTAATAGGACTGTGAGACCTCTGTGGTACAGGGACTTAGGGTGCTCTGGCTATATTCCTAGGAAGAGCATAGCCGGATCATCTAGTACTTCTTAAATTCTAAAGTCTATTTCCCAACCAGCACAGCATCTTTGTATGTATGTCTGATGTACGGCATGTCTGTACGGCATGTCTGATGTGCCTTCCCTTGGAGCTCCGCATGAAAGTCAGGGCAGTCATTCTCTCTACGGGAGCAGCTAGAGAGCAGGCAGCGTACATGAGTAGGCTCTTCCTAAAGCAAGTGTTTATTTCTGTTTGACCTCCTCCATGTACATCTTCATATCGTCATCATTTTCCTCATCAGCACCATCACCACCACCATTAGGAGGGAAGTGGAAGTTTCTGGTTTCTTTGAAGACTCAGTTGAGTCATGTGATATGTTTGCTAGAAGGTGTCTTATGAGAGTGCATACGATGTTTTGCTGGAAGCTGGCTTGTGAGAGGGAAGGCACGTGATGTTTTGCTGTGAGCTGCCTCGTGCAAGGGGCGTGACTTTGGCCTGTTGGGAGCATCTGTGGGTGAATTCTGAAGGGAGGAGATATATAGAAGCCTGCAGACAGGGAGATATCGCTTTTTGGAGCAACATCACTGTGCAGATCTTCGTGCTTCGACACTTGAATTTGCAGAGAGAAACATTCCAGAGAACCTCTTGGGGCAGTCCAACTGAGTCTTGTGACTTTCGACGGCTTGTCCTGATCTTCTAAACTGTGCTGATTCATGTTGCTACTTGGTGTTGGCCTTTGGACTGGACTGCTGGTATCTGGACATCAAGACATGGACTCATCCCAAGGAACTATTTCTGAAAGGTCTATAGCCCCCTTTACCTAATAACTTTCTTTCTCCCCTACCTCTGGTCAGTGGGCAGAAAGAAAGGCAGAAGCATTTAAGAAGCCTAAAGTAAGTAAGTAAGTTCGGTGAAAAAATCTAAGCCTACATAAGAGCCTTTTTTTTCTCTTCTTAGCTGATTTTCTTTCTTGGTTTCAGTTTTATGCACCCAAGCTAAGACTTGCTGGTATAAGACTAGTGGGTTAAACCACCTGTGACGAACATGAATTAGTGGGGATAGTCAGGCACACTAGGATGGGATGGAATGAACGTGGGCAGCTGTGGGCCTTGCGTCTAATGAAGGAGCGGAGACGGGCTTCTCAGAAGAGATGTATTTGGAAAATAAATGGAAATAAATGACCTAACTGGCTGAGGTAAGAGATGGCGTTCCTGGAAAAGGGGACAGGGTGCACCAAGGCCTGCAGAGGACACAAGGGCACATTTGTCTGAGATTCCAGTAGCAGGGCCCGCAAGGAGGCTAAGCTAAGGGAGATGTGCATATCTTTGGCTTCCGAAAGCCACCATCATGGAGTGATGTTTCTCCTGGGAAATGGGATAGCGGGGTCTCAGCTTTAAGTTTTTCTGGTGGACCACAGCTCAGTACGTCTTATTATGGGAATCCTCAGTGCCTGGGGTCAGGATGGTGTGGACTCAGCATTCTGAAGATTAGCCCAGTTATCTGACTTCAACTGCAGAGCCCAGCCCTTGGCAGGCAAAAGCAGCCCAACTGGAGACTATGAGGAATGAGATTGGAACTACAGCAGCCTGTATCAGGAAGCACTTTCTTCAAAGCCAGCCTTTCCTGGGAAGAGGTTTCAAATTTCCTGACACAAAATTATTCTGCTCTTACGCCCTAGATCTTACAGATAAGGGAAAGAGAAACAAATAAATACAAAAACAGGAAACTAAAGGCCTTGTGCTATCTCATTGTATGGTTCTTGGGAGCTTATGATGCCCAATCGTAACTTAAAAGTTTACATTTATTTTGATATCTTAAAAATTATTTTAATGAGTTACGTGTGTGAGTGTTTTGCCTACACGTATGTACACCGCATTTGTGTAGCACACACAGAAGTGAGAAGAGAGTGTTGGATTCCCTGACCTGGCATTTACAGATGGTTGTGAGCCACCATGTGGGTGCCGGGAAGTAAACCTGGGTCCCCTAGAAGAGCAGCCAGTGCTGTTTGTTTGTTTGTTTGTTGTTGTTTTTTAGCTTATACTTAATTGTTCTTTATGGCTGGGGCACAATTTTTTCTTCTTCTTTGTTCCTTCTTTTTTTATGGCATTTTTTAAAAATTAATTACAGTTTATTCACTTTGTATCCCCCCATAAGCCCCACCCTCCTCCCCTCCTGCTCCTTCCCTTCCTCCCCCTTCTTTGTGCATGCCCCTCCCCAAGTCCACTGATAGGGAGGTCCTCCTCTCCTTCCTTCTGATCTTAGTCTATCAGATCACATCCGGAGTGCAGCCAGTGCTCTTAACTGCCCGCCCAGCCAACTCTCCAGCTCCGTAATTTCTTTTTCTAAGTGTGAAAATAATCAAAGAAGCTATTAAGTGTTAGAGTTGGGTGAGTCCTTTGAGTGGATTCTAGTCCATTGTTCCATTTGCAGTTAAGGAAAGTGCAATCTACACATTCTGGGAAGGGCCTCAAGGAACCCTATCAGATAATTAGAGCCAGCCAGCCAGCTTCTAACTCAGATCAGCTGACCGTTCTGCTGTACGAGCGTTACACTCTCAAAGATTCAGGTGTGTATTCTCACCACACCGTTTGCACTTTATTGCTTGCGTATTCGTGCCTTGTCCTTTCTGCTGAGTGTATTTGGAGAATTCTCCCCAGTTTGTTATTCTTATATAGCCATGCATCGATGGTGGGAACACAGTTTAAGGAATGCCTGGCTAATCGGCTTCCTTGGTGCATGGATGCTATGGAGTGCCCTTATACAAGCTGGGACGGTTGTGCTATCATTCAGTGTTGGATGTTGAGTGCAGAGCAGGCATCCCCAACCCCGAGGTAGATGGTGGCACCTTCATGAGCCATGCAGTCATTCACCAAGACATCACAAGGTTATAACGTTAGTATTGAGACATAACGTGACTCACAGATTACCTTAATAGCTACACAACATTGTTCTTTGTGGACAAGACATAGTTAATTTTCCCTAGTCCCCGTTATTGACGTTTCAATCATTGGGTTTTTATTGTTAACTGAAGATAAAAATCTTTGCCTATAAACCTGTGGGGCTTCTTCAGCGTCGTGCCCTATGGGAGGATTACAGGTATGGTCAAAGCAAATGGGAACACTGAGGACTTCGGGTAGGTATCACCAGGTTCACCAGGCACGAGCTGCCACAGCCTGTTTTCAAAGTCTAGTAGCTTGAGACCGCACGACTCAGTTATTGTAGTTAAGGTGGAGTTTCCATTCGCTCTGGTTTCAGGATCTACGGAAGAATAAAAATTGTGACCGAGGCATTAGTTTGAGGAGTTCTTGGGTATATTGGGTGTAGAAGCTAAGGGAAAAGTGGGTGACAGCTGAAAAAAAAATCCAGAAATTTTCCTGCAGGGGTCACTGTTGTCAATTTATGCCTGGAAGGAAACTAAAATACTAGGGCATTTGAGAGCCTGATTGGTCCGCACTTCTTAAACTGTAAAGTAAACAAGAGTTTGCAGCCAGATAGCATTAGCTGCCAGGATTTTATATAATGACCACAGCGCCCCACTTCTGCTTCAGCTGCTCTCCAAAGAGGAACCATTAGCGTCTGATTCTGGAAGTGTGCACACGTCTTTGACTAGAAGGAAAAGATTCTTCGCTGTGATCCGCAGGATCCCTTGTTCAGCTCTCGTTTTGCGCCTTAAAATCTCCACAGATAAAACCGGCAAGGGCAACTTGCTTTGTGCCTTTCCACTTGAGTGGTGGAGAATGTTTCAGATTTCCCACGTTTACGCGCAGAGTTCCAGGGCCTGTCCTGAGGCGGCTGTCTGGCTGCAGGGCTGGGCAGGGAACTGGCCAGGTGTGGGAGGAAGGTGCCAATTCTCTCTACAAAGCAGAAGGCTTTTTCCATCACCAAATGCAAATCAGCTGGTCGTTGTCCACCCTCACCCTTCCAATCCCGGCCCCTTCATCCGGTGCCTGGAGGAGGGAGGCGTTACTAGCTCTCTGCTCTTTTATCAGACCCGAGCCAGCAGACCCAGACGAGGCAGGCAAGCTTCGAGCTGACCCAGGGCTTGCGTCAAGCCCAGGCTGGGCTGGAGCATCCGGGAAGCCGAGGGAAACGGTCTAGGAACCCCAAGTGTGAGCCGTGGAGAAGCTGGAGGGCAAGGCTCAGCCTCAGGCGGGAGGAGAGGTCTGACTCTAGCTGCCAGCACGCGGTGTGAGTCCGGGCTGCAGACGCCTGGCTCGGGTCCGCTAGTGCACCGCCTCCACCTCTGGCGCTGAGGCTGGGAGTTGGCGAAACTCCCTCACCTGTCGGAACCCGGATCTGGCCGCGGGAAGGGACTGGCAGCCAGCTCCTGCTGGTCACAGTAAGCTTGGCAAGCGGCCCTGCTTGCACTAGGGCGCCGCCGCCGCCAAGGAGGCAGGTGAGAGGCTGCTTCGCGCCCCAACCTCTCGTCGCTCTTCTTGGTCCCCAGGCACCACCGGCTTGGGATAGGTCTAGGAACAACTTTCCCAGACACGAAGGCTGCAGGTTCGAGACGCCCCGCCTCCTCTTGCCACTTAGAGCCGTTAGTGTAGGAGGAACCTTCCACTCGGCCAGAGTCTGAGGTTTTCGGACCTTGGCAGACCAGCCACGCCACCCCTGCTGCTAGCCTGCGACACCCCGAGTCCCGGAGAGACCACTCTTCCAGCAGCCCCGACGCCCCAACTTTTGATTCGCCTACCTGGGCGCCCAGCTCCAGTGTTCGGGGGGTGCGCCTCTTCGGCAGACAGCGCCACCCGCCTCTCCCAGTTCGCTCTCCTCTCCCGCAGAAGCGCGCGGTTGGTCGCCTGATCCGCGACCTCACAAGCGCTCGGGACTGGCCCAGCCTTAGAATCGCCTTCCAGGGAGCTTAAGCCCAAGAGGTCGGAGCCTCTTACTCCAAACCAGAGTCGGTTCAGGTGTTTCTTCTTCTCCAAACCCTGCCCCTTGCGCGGATAATCCGCAGCGCCGGAGTCGGGAGCGCCGGGTCCCCGTCGCCCCGTCGGAGTGGCCAAGCCATGGCCGGCTGCTGCTGTCTGTCTGCGGAGGAGAAAGAGTCGCAGCGCATCAGCGCGGAGATCGAGCGGCAGCTTCGTCGCGACAAGAAGGACGCGCGCCGGGAGCTCAAGCTGCTGCTGCTGGGTGAGTGGCCGCGTGTACCCGGCACGTCGTGAGGTCCACGTCCCGTCCCGGCTCCTTGCAGTCCCACCGAGCCTGGCCGGCGGCAGGCTGCGTTTCCTCCCGGCCCCTTCCAGGTTTGCAGACGCTGCAGCCTCCGGGTTTAGGCGCGGGTCTTCTGCACCTGGTGGGGCTGGGTGACGTTCGACCGCAGACTCCCAACATCTCAGAGCAGGGCCCGGGGCTCAGCGCTACGGCTCTTGTCTGTTCTTCACCCCCACCGTGCCCTCCCCCACGCCGCCGCCTTGCCCCCCTTTGCCCTCAGGCTTCCAGTACTGCGGTTGCTGCGGAACCCCCAACCTGGATCTTGGGCGGTGGTGGGGGAACTGCTTGGCTCTGTTGAGGTTCCGCTCACCTTGGGTTCTGACTGCAGCCTAGTTTTTAGCTGCCAGGTAAGGTCAGGTGGCAAGGCTCTGTCCTCACTGTATGAACTGACAAAAGGAAACCCTAGAAACTGACAAATGAGAAGAGGAGAGAATGCTAACAAGTGAGCCTTGGAAGTTAAGCCCCAAACACCAGTCTTCTCTTCTGACACAGTGCCTTCTGCAGCTGACCTCCTGGAGCCCACACGGAGAGACTGCAGACTTAGGCCTCCCTTGGCCCCCTTTAACTCTCCCTGGCCTGGCTATCTTTATCAGTGACTAGCCAGGATTTTAGGTCTCTGCAGAAGTGTTTCAAAAACAAAAGAGAGGAGTTTCAGGCTTGATTCATTCCCCAAGGCAAGGATCCCTTTCTTCTGGCCCATCGAATGTCATTCAGCCCATCCATAGTTGGATACTGGCTTTTTTTTTTTTTTTTAATCCTCCTCCCCGCCCTCAAATAGCTCCACGTTTTTCAACTTGTTTTTTCCGCCCTTCCAGGTGTCTCTCTTCCATGTGTGTTTAATTATCTTTCAGCAGTCACATTCCAAGATGGGCTGAAGGAGATCGGTGATCTGGAGGGGCCTTTTAGTCTCTTCTGCCTTTACACCTGGGCAAGGCCTCTCTTGGTTTTCCTCAGACCTGCAAGTTCAAAGGGCTGAGCCCCCAGATTCCATACTCCCCTCTCCTTTAAGGCCAGAAGAAAGTCCTTGCCCATTGGACTCCTAGCTTAGTGCTAAGGTCTTAGCCACTGAGGAGGAAAGACCTGATCCAGGAAGAAGCCCAAGGGGGAGCTGTTTGCTGAGGCTGTGCAGGAGCCAGTGTCCTGGGGTCCTGAGAGCATTCTAAAAGGGTCTTCAAGGCTGGGGAGTGTGGGGTATGGATGAGAAGGAATGGACTCTTTGCAGCACCGGGGCCAGGGCTGCTTATCCAGAATTGGAATAGGCCTAGGGACTCTAGCTGAGCTCTGCAGGCTGTTATCAAGTCTGGTTTGTCAAGTGGAGTACTATGTGACAGTTTGGAGTTTGATTAGCACTAAGGTAATTCATTATGCCCTCCTTTGACTTTAGACACATACAGAATGAACTCTTGTTCATTTTGAAATATTTAGATTTGTGTAAAATACTGCTGGGACTATACAAGAGCTAAATATCTGCTGGCCCCTTCAAGGCAAATTATGTCATAAGCTGAGCCATGGCATAATGGCAATTGACATGTTGCCAATAGGCCAATCTGACACACTTAGACATACAAAATAGGGAAGGAACGCTAAAGGATCCATTGTTTGTCTTAAAAGTCACGTCTGGTCCAGGTAACCCGACTCTCAGGCCTTTCTAGCTCTTGTTCCACTTCTCCTGAACCTTGAAGTCCTTTGAGCTTTCTTCTCCCAGCTGGGACTATCAATCATCATCATGACCGTGTTCCAAATCCCACAGAGCTACCAGAGCCCCAAGGATGGGCTTAAAACCCCAAGTTCTTTCCATCTTTAGAGGGTTACGGCATAGTCAAATCCTCAAGCTAGAAGAGGATGTGACTCAGAAGGTTCAGGAATCCGGGAAGGCTATGTGCTCTTCTGTCTGAGGTCACACGGAGTGGTCACTGGTTTCTGGAGTGGCTGAATTAGATCATTTGTTGGTCACGTGTCTCAGGTATAAAAGCTTCACAAATGGGACTTTGGGATCCTGTGTGGACTATGTTCCCAGAATCCATGGGCTCTGACAATGATTGATGTGTCTGCAGCCAGGGGAAGGGTGTTTCAGAAGTGTACTGTGGAGCAGCAGAGCCCTGTCTGGGCTTCATAAAAGCGTAGGTCATTGTCCAGTGCTGAGGGACACAGGATGCTGTCTGGTTACAGCTGGTAGTTATAAGCTATTGGCAGGATGCTTTCCTGGCAGGAGGAGGCAAAGGACAATAAAGGATATAGTTGAATTTAGTAGAAAGAAATTCCTTCTAATTGGACCAAACTGGAAAAAAACCAAATAGTCCTGATAACGCTGATGGAAAAGTGATGGCCACATGTGTCCAGTACACCAATGGGGAGGCGGAGCTTGGACTTGGGCCTCTGAGTCCTGCACCCAGGAGCCCACCATTCCACAGGACTCTGCAGCTGGAATGGGAAAAGAATGGACATTCCTGCATACTGACGTCTTTGCCAGGCCACAGCTGAAATCTCCCAGCACCTTGATGCAGAGGCTGGAGCTGGACCAATGGAGTGTGGTGTTCCCAAAGACAGATGCAGAGCCAAAGGCCATTTTGTACAAGGAGAAACCGAAACTTCCATATGAGCTATGGCTGCCGGCAGGGTGACCAGTAAGCTGGGGTCAGTGGAGTGAGTCCAGCCCAGAGAGAGTGGCCCACACTTCATGAGCAAGAAAGGACCCCTGTACCCCCAACAGAGCTAGCTCCTCCCTACTGGCCCTTTAGCTAGAAGGCAGCCACAAGGGCCTTGTGTGCCAGAGCTCCAGGATGTGCCCTGGTTGATAGAGGTGCTGGTAGCCTTGAATCCTGTCCTGAGCCTGGGTGTTACTTTTGCTAGTCTTGAGGCCTTAAGCCCAGGGGAAAAGAAGGATCATCCTGGTAGGAGCAAATACAGTGCTTTATGTGGCCCCTGTGACTTAACTTCCCTATCAGAACCACTATTGGCTTTCCTACTTCCCTGCAAGGGAAGCCAGTGCCTCTCACCTCGGACCCTGAGCTGGGCAGAGTCAGGGTGGTTGCTGATGTTAGGATCTGCAGAGCAAGAGCTAGGTGCTGCCAAGGGCTCTGTCTTTGAGACAGCAGCACCCCTTTCTAGCTCTGTTCGGGATCCCGGTCACAGCAGGACACCCAGGACTGGTCGAGCTCTGGCCATCACCATCATTATTGCCGCAGCAGCCCTGTGAGGCTTGTCCCAGCTGGGAGCCCACTCTGCTTGGTGCCCTGGGTCACCAAGGGTACAGAGGAGCTTGAGAGGCCCCTATCTGCCCCCCTTTCCCCTCCTTGCTTCTCACCCAGCACTGTCTTGTGGCTCTGGCTTGCTCTAAGCTCAGGCTGTTCACGACCCTACACTCACTCCTATGGTGCTGTGAAACGGTCCTATCTGGAGACAGAATGGGTCTGACCCAGTAGCTTCCTGGTGGAATGGCAATATAGACTCATGTTAAATGTTAGCTGGTTTCATAGACCTTGTTCTCAGGATGTGGAATGTGAAGACAGCACTCCCAGGCCCCACAAGTCATACTGACCCAAATTCCACCCTACATCCAGGAGATGCTAATTCAGTACTCGGGGGGTCCACATGCTCAGGTCTCATCTTCATGGGTCCATCCTGGAGTGGGTGCTGGTGGCAATGGTTCCATGGCCTGGGCAGAGAAGAGGAGGCCAACAGGCACAGCGTAGCTCTTAGAGAACTTGGTGAGTAGAATACAGAGGCCTGGACACAGATCAGAAGTCCCCTCTATCAGAGGCCATCTTGGCTGTCAGTGGAGGCACCAGAGCTCCCTTATGGAGGAGAAAAAGTTCTCATCTAGAGAAGCCATTTCCTGTGTAGTGAGGGTTGATGCAAAAGGTTGTCAGAGCAGCTGTGGTCTAGCATGGCCCTGGGGGGCGCTTACAGGACTTCCCATTGGCACATTCTTCTGATGTCCCTCCCCCAGCAGTCACTCATTAGGACAATACCCTGAAGGCTTGTGTGGTCTCCTGGACACTTTTTTTTTTCTCAGCTGAAGCTCCCTCCTCCCAATGCCTCTAGCTTGTGTCAAATTGACCTAAACCGAGCAAGTACAACTGTGGAGGGGCTTTTTATTTTTTTTTTTCTTTTGTTCTGTACTTTCTAGTCTCTGTAGAATGAACACAAATCACATGGCAATAGATTTCTGTGAAAAAGTAAGACAGACACACACCACCGTGGATTGGCAGTATTGTCGGCATAGAAGCTTCACTTCCAGAAAATAGCAATTAAAATGGAGGAACTGTGGTCTTTCTTTCTTTGATTTTAGTGTTTCATAAGGCTTAGTAAAATGTTGCCTATTAATTGGATTGAGAGTTTCCAGTCACCCTGGACACACATCTTGGAACTCTCCGGAAGGATGGGGAAGTGGTACTTAAGTCAATTATATCCTTCTGGTGGGGCCACCATGATAAAGCGCTACAGGTTGGGAGGCTTAGGCAACAGGAATTGATTTTTCTCCCAGGCTGGACACTGGAGCCCACAGATCAAGGTGCTGGCAGGTTTGCTTAATCTTGAGGCTTTGGCTTTGGCCTGCAGACACAGGCCACAGGCCTTGCTGTGTGTCCTCCTATGGCCTCTCCTCCGTGAGTGTTCATTCCTGCTGCCTTTGCTTCCTCCCACAGGGAGTCCAGTCCTGTTAGGTTGAACTTTCAAGGCCTTGATTTATATTATCTCTTTAAAGACCTTATCTCCAAATACAGTTGTTCTCTAAAGTATTGGTGGTTGAGATGTCAACAAATAAACGGTTGTCAGGAAGGTATAATTCACCCATAATGACAACGGTGGTGGGAAGACACATCTTATCACTTACCATTGCCTGTGGATTCTCGGCGCTCTTCACTGTCCTCGACTACACACAGAAAAGTGCTTCAGGATGAGTCAGAATAAAGCTAAGT